CAATCCACTACATATAACTGAGCAAACATGCTATATACTGCTCCTCAATCCACTACATATAATTGAGCAAACATGCTACATGATGGTGCCTTTGATTAAAACATATGATGACCATGTGATTGCAGACACAAATGTTCTTCTTCTGAGGAAAAGTTCTTCTCTTCCCAACAGATAATTGATATCTTCAGTCTGTTTTATATAAGGCTTTTTCGTAATAATTCCCAAGCATAGACTTGCACTAATGTTTGACTTATTTTTCACAGGCATTGATAGGATGTGAATGTACTTCTGTGTTTTTGATCATAGGAGTCTTCCAGACTTTCCTATGTGGATCCTACCTATCTTGATGTCATAATGATGTGGTGTCACACACATAACACCATGCCTGATCTGGTCCTGGGAACTCCCTCCTTGAAAGGCTTTTATATAGCAGAAAAAGTGGCGATTTAGGAGCTATTTACGCCTATGTTAGAGATTAAATTCAACTAAAATGGGAATGGGCAATGAACATAGGACAAAAAGTGGAACTGGACTAATGTAACTAACAAAATTGGGAGAAATCAGGCGTGACCGACCAACTCACCAACCAACTAACACTTGGTTTATATATGTATATATATATTGATGATTTAGTTAACACTGCACGTGAAGTAATAGTTTTGAGTTTTCACTGTTGTCAGTTCAATAGGAAACAGGAATCATCAATGAGTGTCATTGTGAAGGCTAGTGAAACATTTTACTAGTAATATTGTTGAGCTTTTATAAAAAAGTGATGGTTTCCTCACCTGAAGAATGGAGTTTGAGTTTCTTTGAAGTCTTATAAAAGTTGTAATTTGTAACTTTTATTAGATAGCATTATTTTAAAGTATACTAATAATATTTTGTTATTGTAGATTTATTGAAAGAAGCAGCTTTTTTAACTCAACACAAGAAACTGCTTCATGGACTAAAAGTCAGTACCAACATTCTTGGCAAACATGGAGATGTTCTATCTCAGATAACAACAGGTAACTAACATTTAGTCATGGCAGAGAATAGAAATGATCTTTCTCAGATTATAATAGGTAACTAGTAATTAGTCTTGACAGAGAATGGAAATGATCTTTCTCAGATTACAACAGGTAAATAGTAATTAGTCTTGACAGAGAATGGAAATGATCTTTCTCAGATTTCAACAGGTAAATATTATAATCTGAGAAAGATCATTTCCATTCTCTGTCAAGACTAATTACTAGATAACTAGTAATTAGTCTTGACAGAGAATGGAAATGATCTATCTCAGATTATAATAGGTAACTAGTAATTAGTCTTGACAGAGAATGGAAATGATCAATATTTGAGGATGAAATTAGTAACAATCAAGATGAAAGAAAAGAATATTTATATACTGTGTAACTTTGTTTTGCACTACTACAATGTGCAAGTAATCTTTAGGGTATATTGTATAAGAATATTAAGAAATATTTATGACAAGATTAAACTATACAAACTGACTTCCACCATCAAGAACAACCAACAAAAATATAATCTTCATTTCCAAAACAATAATGTCCTTTTTCAAGAACTGGTCATTCCTTCCAACAAGTGATTGGCCTACAAACTCCTGTTTCTCAGTAAACATCTTCAGCATAAAAAATTTAAAAATCTCCACAAAATTGGATTCTTATTTTTCACTGTTGTTTCCAATAAGATATTTAAACAGAGAAATTATATTATCAAAAACCATATAAAAGAAAGTCTGTGTTAATTTTTTCAGGATTTTTTTGTTCACCTGTAACTTACAGTACATATGAGTTGATTAATTTCTTAATTCAGTTTAAACATTTAGGTAATATTATGTCTAATTTTTAACTGCAGAGAAAATTTATACTTGAATCTTATTAGGAGTATCATTTTGGTCAGCAGAATTATGGGTTGTTTTTGTCTGTCATTGGTTTGCTTATTTTAATTCTATTGTTCTTAAATGTGAGTTTTGCAAAAGTTTGAAAAAAATATATCTAATAAAAGAAATATCTGTATTCATTTTTATGACAGAACCAGCACAGATCTGTGTATGTAATGAAGTTTCTTTGGTTTTACAGATTTGAAAGAACTTTCAGAAGCTGTTACCTATAACATTGTGGCTATTCAATTTCTTGGTAAGTGTATTTAAAATAAGTACTAAAAATGGCAGGAAAGTATGAAGATACTGTGGTTTATAATATATTATACTAATCTATTCAAGAAAGACTTGTAACACAGTCTTACAAAAAACTGCAACCATTTGCCATTATACTTGTTATTACACTAATGTAAGTTTTATTATTACCCAAACATAAGTCTCTTTATTACACTAATGTAAGTCTTTATTACACTAATATTAATATTCTAATGTAAGTCGTATCATTACACTGGTATAATTGTACTATAATGGACATAGCATGTATGTCAGTATCTATATATGTAACCAAAACTATAGAAAAGTCTTTAAACATCAACATATTGATACTATTGATGGAGAGGTGAAATGTTGATTGTTTAAAGACTTTTCTGTATTCTTAGGGTGTGTTTTAAACTCGTAAGAAGAGGATCCAAAGAAAGCCATTTGAGATGGGAAGGCCAAAAAAGTATAAAGATGATGAAGAAAGAAGAAGAGAGAGAGCAAGGAGGGAAAAGGAACGACGGGCTCAAGAATCTCTTGAGCAAAGAGAGGACAGGCTAAGAAAAATGTTGCAATATGTGAAGATTAAAAGAGCTGCAGAATCAGAAGAGCAAAGACTTGAGAGGCTGAGGAGGATGTCTCAAAATGAACGAGATCGAAGAGCTGCAGAATCAGAAGAGAAAAGATTTGAGAGGCTGTGGAGGATGTCTCAAAATGAACGTGATCGGAGAGCTACAGAATCGGAAGAGCAAAGACTTGAGAGACTGAGGAAGATGTCTCAAAATCAACGTGATCGGAGAGCTGCAGAATCGGAAGAGCAAAGACTTGAGAGGCTGAGGAAGATGTCTCAACATCAACGTAATCGGAGAGCTGCAAAATCAGAAGGTGAAAGTTGCGTATGACTAAAGAGGACAATCCAAACACTTTTCCCATGCAGTACTTCCCCCCCAAAAAAACTTTTTTTAGACAATGTTCAGTCTTTTTACAATTTTTTAGAAATAAATATGAATATTATGATCAATAATTACTAGCACTACAGCTGCCCATAGGGTAGTGTTTCTGCTAGTTATACTAATGTAAGTCTTATCATTACACTGGTATAAGTTTCATTATTATGTCAATGTAAGTCTCAGTGTTACACTAATGTAAGTCTCATTATTACATTAATGGAAATATTTTTATTACACTAATATAAGTCTCTTTATGATATTAATATTATTACACTAATGTAAGCCTCATTACTTCATCAAATAATATCCATGTAAAAAAAAGTAGCCACGGCTTCTTTTATTAATCCTGTTAGAATAGATAGGATATTTATATTATAACTTATCTTGTGTACTTTTGTAGAACAAAGAATTCACCAGCTAGAGTTACAGGCTCCAAGCAAGGAAAGTGTTACAACCACAACCAGTTGTCATAAGTTATATGAGGAAACACACCATGATGGTGTTTTATCACCCAAGCCATCTTTTTCAAAAGGTAATTAGGATAAACAGTGTGCTTCATAAGAAACGAAGAAGTTCTTACAATCTTTATCTAATCCACTACAGAGGTTGAGTTTGTTATATTAAAAGGATTTTGAAGCCTAATCATATTGTTACAGTCCATGTTGCCACATCTTGTCATCCTCTTTATCTAGCAGTTGCACATATTGGCACTAGTCCTGCAGTGTAGTTTCCATCATAAGATATTCATGGCCAAAGAATTCTACTACTCCCTGCTTGCTTTCCATATTCCATCTAGTATATGAAAATAATGGTTATCTAGAATGCCTGTTTCAATGGTCCTATCCCACAGAAATACATAGTTACTTGTTTGGTGTCTTGCCCATTATGTATTTGTATTGAATAGCATGAGCATCATTTATTTCTCCAGCTGCTTGAGATATGCAGCAGTTGATTGGATATGTCATGAGAGCAACTTGTGTACCTGTGACTTTATTGCCTTTCCAGATGGACTTCCTTCTTGATAATTTTGTGTAATGTTGCCTGGGGTTTATATGAATGGTTTTCTTCTGTGATTTTTGTGTTCATGGGTTTTCACCTGCTACAAGATACTGCAAATTGCTTATCATAACTGGGGTATGACATGTTGCAGATCTCTTTTGGATGGTCTTGGTACCCAAGTTGATCTTTATTCCTTTGTTTTCCAATACTTATAATTCTGATATGATAAATACCTATACTCACACAAATAGCTTTTCTCAATCTTCTACAGCCCTCTAACACATTGAAAAAAAAAATTTCTCTCTTGACTCACTAGCCTTTATGCCCCATCAATTCAAACTGCTTATTTAGCTAGCTCCCTCCATAGTACTTTATGTGTACCTCACTTTCTTGATTGGCACACCACGTGAATCGGATGTGTTTCTCTCTTAATTTCAGTTTTCCAAACTGACTCAACATGATTTTTATTTACTGTGTGTGCTTTATGTTGGGTTATGGATTTTAATTATCTGTTTCCCACACATTATTGTGTTTTCTACAAATCAATTTCTCATGATTCCCACCACTGCTGTTTCTGGGGGCACGCTTAATTTTCTCACCCAGGCCTCGGGGTCAACATAGTCTGCAGAGCGTTTACACGCCTTGGTTTGTCGGGTATTTACTTCTTCCATGGAGCATGAACCTTGTTTGCCATGATGGTCAAAGCATCTTCAGGCTGTTCTGAATGTTTGAGATGTGTGATTCATTAATTTTGTTTTTTCCTGCTCCAAATTCGCCGTGCTGCCACATCATGCACTTTAGTGGAAGATTGTTCTTCTCCTCCTTTTCTCCTGTTCCAGTACCCACAGTGGCTTGGCTAGAATTGCATACTACAAATCGGGTAGCAATACCCATGATAGGTATGGCTTGGATGCCCTTTGTGTGGCTTTGTGTTTCTCTAAAAATGAAGACATGAGGTATTTCACCTCATCAGTATTAAGACTTTGATAAGTTTGTTACTTATAAGTACTCAACATACCTTTCAATGATGTGTAATTAGATATTACGTAGTACTTTGTTTTCTTGGTACATTTAGACAGTTTGTAAGTCTGATATTATTAAGTGCTTTGTTGACTAAGTATATTTTGATGGTTTGTTAGTTAGATATTCATAGGTACTTTGTTAACTAGGTATGTTTGGATGGTTTGTAAGTTACATTTTATTAATACTAGTCACATATAATTCATTATTAAATCTATAAAATGTTTTTTTGTCTGTGTTAAGTATGTGACTTAGCATCCTACTCTTAATAAGTGTCAGACTTTTTTATATTGATACACCACCGACAGGTTCATTTATCTACCATTTGTAGGGCTGAGCTTTGCTTCGGCTCCATTTCCTAAATTCTTGATACTATAAACCAGTTTTTCTCCATGTATTCTACATTTTGGGGTTTGATCCCCACAGTAACCACATTGTTGATAGTTATTTATAGCTAGCAGTAAGTTTACACTTGTATTATTATGTTATTTTCATACTCACTTCACATGCTTTATAGCAGCTTCAAGAACACAATAGTGTGTTTTGTACGATAATGTTCATATTGTTTTACTGGTTTCTGCACATTGATTTTTTCTCTCTCTTGGACGCTGGGCTCGTGTGCCTCTCCCCCCCCCCTAGAATTACTGACTACACACTTTAGTCTTTCAGGGCATAGCTGCCCTTAACAGCCTGTTCCTGGTACTCTGGCTGATTTGGTGATGGATCTTGTTGGTGTGAGAACACCGCTTGTCTCCCAATGACTTCCCTTAAGGACTTCAGACTGGCTCAGTTTTTGCATGATACTGTTTTGGTGGCCTTTCTTGCTTCTTTCAAGTCCTGTATTGAAGTAGCCACCTTGCAAACTTCCTTTTTGTCTTTTGCTGGTATCTCAATGTTTTCCCCTTTTCCTTGTGTTCCTAATCTTGAAAGTGAGATACACATAAAATAATACAGAGGGAGCCAGCTGCTCTAGAAGAGTGTGTTGTGCTCCTATTGGTGGAGGGTTGTTACAATGTCTATGCATGCTAAGTGAGCAGCTTGAATTGATGGGGTATAAAGGCTTGTGTGTCAAGCAAGAAAATCTTTAGAGGGCATTGAAATGCTATTTGTGTAAGAGGGGGCAAATATGTGTCAGAAATTGTTTTCAGTGTAAGAAATTAATAATATAAAAGGGATATAGTCATTTGTGCTCCTCAATGACTCTGTGGTAAGTTTTAGGGCTTATAGTGCTAAAATATGGGTTTGCTGCCTGCAGTGGGAAGAGCACTGGTAGCCCAATGTTTAGGTTTGTGCTTAACAAGAATTACACAAACAAAATTGGAAGTTCTGAAACTCCAGTCTGAACACACTTTTATGAACTGAGTGTATGTATAAATATTTATTTGTTGGAAATTCAGTCTGAATACACCTTTATGATCTGAGTGTATGTACCTTATGAACTGAGTGCATGTATAAATATTTATTTGTTGGAAATTCAGTCTGAATACACCTTTATGATCTGAGTGTATGTACCTTATGAACTGAGTGTATGTATAAATATTTATTTGTTGGAAATTCAGTGTGAACACACCTTTATTATCTGAGTGTATGTATAAATATTTATTTGTTGGTAATTGCTGTTAAATATCCTTCCCAGAAATGATCAGCTTTTATTTGCACCACATCACCCGCAAAATGTAGTTCTGATACATGCTGTTCCAACGTAACTTTATATTGGCTGTGGTTGTCAGATGTGTGCCATGATTTGCTGATTTACAAATTTAAAATTGTTTTAATTTTTAATATAACATATTCAACCCTTTATATATTTACAAATGGTTTTGTTTAAACCGTGCTGATTTGAGCAGTACATAATAATTGTCTTCAAATACACAGTTGACAATTAAACCTCTTTAAAATTAACTTTTATGGGTCATTGTTCATGTGTCATTTTTTTAATCTAAACTCAAATATATCATCTAAGTTGTACATTATAAAATTCTAGTCACATCATAATACTGCACTGTCTAAATATTGTACATCATAAAACTGTACTGTATAAATATTGTACACAAAATAAGCTAATCACATAATAAAACTGTACTATTTTACGTATTCCTTATTGTAAAAAGCTAATGACATCATAAACTATTTAAGTATTGCTTGTAAAAAGCTAATCACATCATAAAATTGTACTATTTAAGTATTGCTTATTGTAAAAAGCTAATAACATCATAAAATTGTACTATTTAAGTACTGCTTATTGTAAAAAACTAATGACACATAAAATTTAAGTATTGCTTATTGTAAAAAGCTAATCACATCATAAACTATTTAAGTATTGCTTATTGTAAAAAGCTAATCACATCATAAAACTGTACTATTTAAGTATTGCTTATTGTAAAAAGCTAATCACATCATAAAATTGTACTATTTAAGTATTGCTTATTGTAAAAAGCTAATGACACATAAAATTGTACTATTTAAGTATTGCTTATTGTAAAAAGCTAATGACACATAAAATTGTACTATTTAAGTACTGCTTATTGTAAAAAGCTAATCACATCATAAAACTGTACTATTTAAGTATTGCTTATTGTAAAAAGCTAATGACACATAAAATTGTACTATTTAAGTATTGCTTATTGTAAAAAGCTAATGACACATAAAATTGTACTATTTAAGTATTGCTTATTGTAAAAAGCTAATGACACATAAAATTGTACTATTTAAGTATTGCTTATTGTAAAAAGCTAATGACACATAAAATTGTACTATTTAAGTATTGCTTATTGTAAAAAGCTAATAACATCCAAAGACATTTGTTGTTATTAATCTTATTAGTTTAGACAGACCTGAAATAGGATATTTATCATTTATCCTAGCAGCTTTTGTAGAACAAAGAATTCACCAGCTGGAGTTACAGGTTCCTAAAGAAAGTGTTTTAATCTCAACCAGTTGTCATGATAAGCCATGTGAGAAAACAAACCATGATGATGTTTTATCACCCAAACCATCTTTTCCAAAGTATACTTACCTCTTCTCACACTATAGCTTTATCCTGATGAAAGTTTATCTTCTCTGCCTATTTAAGCATTGATATGAATCTTACCTTACTTGCTCCAGTCTTTATACCCCACTGTATTGCCCATAGCAAGTTAAATCATATGATTTTCTCCACCTACGTCAATGCGTTCCCTATACCAGATCCGTTTATAATCTCCCCGTTATTACCCCATTTCTCTTGATGGCAGAATATTACAGTTTTACGTGCTTGCTGCAGATTTCTTTTCTGTGATGTATAACTTTAGTTATACCCTGCTTTGGAAATTCCTTTTTTTTTTTTAGACCTGTCTTATTGTGTCTTGAGTTTGTTGTCTATTTCCTTTATTTTACAACAACAAAAAATTTCTTTCTGAGATGATTTTGGTTATGAATTCACTAGTTCACATCTCTGACACAGTGTCAGAGTTGCCTAGTGACTTCATTACTATTGTGTTTATTTCTATTTTTTTTCAGGAACCCTCTGATCAT